TCATAGCAATCTCCATCGGGTTTCTGAGGCTATAAATCTTTACAAGAACAGATTGCCTCATTGTTCTTCCAAAGAGCACCTGATGAGTTCAAACCACCAACCTTTTGGTTAGCAACCAAATCCTTAAGCACATAGCACCTGAGCTCTGTGTGTGTGTGTGTGTATGTATATATTTGTTGTTGTTGTTGTTACGTGTGGTCGAGTAGGACCTGACTCATAGCAACCCCTCCTTGGGTTTCCGAGGCAGTATCACTACGGAAGTAGATTGCTCCTATATATAGGTTCTCAAATCTGTTGGAGTACAATTTTTCATAATATTCTGTCAATATCTTTTTTATTTCAGTTGGTTCTGTTGTGATGACACCCTTTTGTTTACAATTCTTGTGATTTGGATCTTCTCTTTCTTTTCTTTTGTTAGATTTGCCAATGGTTTATTGATTTCTTCGATCTTTTCGAAGAACCAGTTTTCTCTTTGTTGATTTTCTCTTTTTTTTCTGTTTCATTTATCTCTGCTTTGAACATTATTATTTCCTTACTTCTAGATACTGTAGGACCTTTTGTTGTTCTGTATCTAGTTGTTGGAGTTCATGAGTTAAAGTGTTGATTTTATTTCTTTCCTCTTTTTTTGCTGTATGCATTTATTGCTATAAACTGACCTCTGAGTGCTGCTTTCACTGAGTCCCATAGGTTTTGGTATGATGTATCTTCATTCTCATTTGTTTCTGGGGATTTTTTTATTTCAGTTTTTATTTGTTCTATTACCAGTAGTTTTTGAACAGTGAATTGTTCAGCTTCCACGTTTGATGTTTTTTCCTTGCTCTTCCTATTATTAATTTCTAATTTTATAGCATTGTGGTCCAAGAAGGTGCTTTGTAGTATTTCAATGCTTTTGAATTTATTGAATCTTGTTTTATGTCTTAACATATGGTCTATTCTGGAGAAGAATCTATGTGCACTGGAGAAGAATGTGAATTGTGTTTTTGTTGGGTGAAATGCTCTGTCTATGTGTATGAGGTTGAGTTGGTTGATTGTATTGCTGAGTTCTTCTGTATCTTTGGTGAGTTTTTTTTTTCATTGACCTGTGCCTCTTTGAAAGTGGTGTGTTAAAGTCTCCTACTACTATTGTAGAATTGTCTATTGCCCCTTTTAATTCAGTTAATATTTGCTTCATGAATTTTGGAGCACTTTCATTGGGTGCATAAATATTTATTATCATAATGTCTTCTCTGTCAAATGACCCTTTCAGCATCATATAATATCCTTCTTTGTCTCTTATGATGTTTTTCACCTTAATGTCTATTTTATCAGAAATTAATATTGCCACTCCTGCTCTTTTTTGGTTACCATTGGCTTGTTTTTTTCCCATCCCCTTAACTCTTAATTTGTTTTTATCTTTGTGTCTAAGGTGAGTCTCTTGTAGGCAGCATATTGATGGGTCTTCTTTTCTTATCCAGTCTGCCACTCTCTTTCTCTTGATTGGTGCATTTAGTCCATTCACATTGAGTGTAATTAGTGATAGGTATAAATTGATTGCTGTCATTCTATTGTGTTTTTTTTCGTGTTGTTGGTGTTGCCTTGGTCCACATACTTTTCTGTGTTGAGTTCAGTTTGTTGCCTAATGCTTCCTCTCTTTTCTTCTTTATTGTTGGTTTTGTGCTTATTAAACCCATATGTTTTCCTTCTTTCTGGATTTGCTTAGGGGGATTGTTAATTTTCTCTGTGGTTATCTTGGAGTACATTCTCGTCTCTACATTTTTAGAACAGTATGTTCTGTAAAGACATTGTCCTGTTTTCCTCTCCATTTGGAAGTTTATACCTAGAAGTTTTATTCCCTCTAATAGGTTAGTTGCTGTTGTTATGTGCTAATTAACTTCCTTGGTTTTTAGTGTACAATATTTTATGGTCTTATTTTGAGTTTCTATTTCTGATTTGGTTTTAGTGTAAGTGCCACATATCCTGATTTTGTTGATCTCTGTTGTGTGCTCTCTATTGGAAGGACTTCCTTAAGCATTTCTTGTAGGGTTGGTCTGGTTTTCACAAAATCCCTTAATTTCTGTTTGTCTGGGAATGCCTTGATTT